GATCAGGACAGCCAGGGAGGCACCAAGCAGCCTCTTCTACTTGTTCCTTCGACTCTGGGCCCAGACCACAGAAGGAGGGGTGGAGGGAAGCTGCGGTTGAAGGGTGTGTGCACAGCTAGTGTGTGATGAGAAGCTGCCTTCATCTTAGCACCTTAAAACCAGGAAGAGAAACTGAGCAGGCAGAAAGGGCACGCTGGGCTGCATAGAGCCCTCCAGTCCCTGGGGGCCTGCTGAGGGGAACTCTCAAATAGTCACTGGACAAACCACTTATCCTTTCTGGGCCTCAGTTTCCCCATGGGAAAAATGGGATTTTTTTTTTTTCTAATGGGTCCTGCCAGTCTGCCCTGATTGGTGCTGTCTACACCTAATGGGCCACGTCATGGTAGATAAAAGAGCACCCCCTCAACTGGTGGAGTACTCCTGATCCCGAGGAGCAGGGGCTCAGCCACCCAAAGCCAGCCTCTCCCTGCTCACTTCTCCCCTCAGTCATGCAGGGAGCACCAGCTCTTCCTTCACCAGCTTTTTATTTTTAGGTCTGAATTTGACTTTAATCATTACTTAGAGGATTCTATTTCCAGCCCTTGGATGAAGGGACCCAGAGGGGAGGAGGAAGGGAGGCAGTGCTCCCTGCCGGGCGCTGGGGGTGGCCTGCTCCTCCACCCATCCTGTCCCCAACCAAGGGCGGGGGAAACTGAGAAACACCCAAAGGGCTCTCATCTGAGCCAGGCCAGGCCAGCATCTTGGGACGGACCCCACCCTGTGACCTCATCCCATCCCAAGCTGTGGGACAGGAGGGCAGCTGTCATGCCCACTTCCCTTACACTAAGAGCAGGGAGGAGGGAGACACTCCACAGGCCAGAGTATGGCAGCTGGAGTCTGAGGTCGTGTGCCCAAGGGACCTCTGCACTGAATGGGCCACCTGGGGGAGGACCCCTTCCCTAGGTTAGTCCTGGGCCACCCTAGGGTCATCTGGGGCTACAGTCTCTTAGGCCCAGGGTTGCCAAGCAGAGACCGGTGTCCTGCTACTGCCCACAGGGTGGCTGTAGGAGGGCACTCCCAGTTACTCTGGTCTCCATAAAAGCAGAACAAGAGGAAGCAGGTGTGTCACAGTGAAACACACTCAGGTTAGACCTGGGGAACACCTGCTGAGAAGGGGAAGGCTACCACATGAGTTTCCTAATGTGTCCAACTCCCTCCTGGGAAGCTCTGGGAGGCTCCAGAATCCCCCTACCCTCAATCTCCCAGCCTGCTTCCCTTCCTTGGCTACTGGGACAGGGTGGGAAGATGAGGCTGGCATGGCTGTTCTCGGGCTGGGGTTCGGGATGCCTAGGTTCCTTGTCTAAGTCTCAGGCTAAGCAGGCCTCTATTTCCTCTGGGAAAATGCCAAACTGGGCTGACCTAGCGAGAGCTGGGAGGCGGGAGGCAGCCAGGCTCTTAAGAGGCCTTGTCGGCCGGGCGCAGTGGCTCACACCTGTAATCCCGGTACTTTGGGAGGCCAAGGTGGGCAGATCGCCTGAGGTCGGGAGTTCGAGACCAGCCTGACACGGAGAAACCCCGTCTCTACTAAAAACAAAATTAGCCAGGCGTGATGGCACATGCCTGTAATCCCAACTTGGAAGGCTGAGGCAGGAGAATCACTTAAACCCAGGAGCTTGAGGTTGTGGTGAGCCAAGATCACGCCATCGCACTCTAGACTGGGCAACAAGAACAAAACTCCATCTCACCAAAAAAAAAAAAAAAAAAAAAAAGAGAGAGAGAAGATGCCTTGTCTATTCAGCTCTGATGTTGGGAGACTGGAAGGGGAAAGGGTGGAGTCAGGTCCTGGACCCTAACCAGCAGCCCATCTTCCCAGGGCCAGCCCCATGCTGTAGGCCAGGCAATCACATGGTAATGGGGAGAGAGGAGGGCAGGGAAGGGCACTGGCCATAGTATTCTAGAACCTCAGGGCCAGGGGGTTTCAGAGGGGCTCCCCAGGCAGAGACCACCTCTTTGCCAGGTGAGTGGTCAGCCAACGTTGGCTCGTGGCTCAGGCACCTTCCTCACAGGTTGAGGCAGCCAGCAGTGGACACTCCTTCAACAATGCCAGTCCTACTCACAGAGGAAGTGGAGGAAGGCCTGTGCCAGGCACTTTAGAGCCCCTTGGTTAGTTAGTTGACACTGTCCTTACACCTTCCTCTAAAGTAGGTGTCACCATCCTTTTATATAAAGGCAGCTCAGCAGGTCAGTGACCTGTCTAAGGTCCCTCCACCCTGGGTCTAAGTGGCATGTCTGAGCCTGGAACCCATATTCAGTTGGGTGCCAAGTTGCCCGTGCCCTCCAACACCCTGGCTGCTTTTGGGACTCACAGTAATGACAACCACAACAGCAACAGAGGGGGAAAATGCACACGCTCCAGTGTATGGGTGATGGCGCTGCAGCAGGCCAGCCTGGAATATTCTGTAGCTTTTTAGAAGCAACATTACTTAGACCATGTAGCACCATGAGAAAATGCCCACAGACGCAGTATTAAATGAAAAAAGGTGTCACGGTACACACACTCCAGTGACAACGGCGACGAAGGAAAAAGACAGGGAAAAGACCAGCAGGGAACTCCAAAATGCTAACACAGTCACTGCCTGCTGAAGAAATAGTGGGTGATTTTTGTTTCGTTTTCTAAATTTCCTGTAGCGCTGTTTTGTTATTTTCTAAATCAAGAAAATGAGTACATTCAGTTTCCCTAGAACGAGCTCAGATTCACTTCCCTGGGACCCGCCTGCTCCCTAGCGCTGGCCCAGGTGTCTGGGACAACTTCTGCCACGGGATGCCTTTCTCATTTGGGACAGTCCCTCAGACATAGGAGAATCTGTCTCTACTTTCTCTTTTCCCAGACTCAATCAACATCTTTGGTTCTTTGAAGACAACTTGTCAAGGTTTTAAAATCCTTCAAAAGATGGAGCCCAGAACTGCACCCAGACAGGTCTGCCCCCTTTGGGGGGCAGCCACATCACACTGTGGATCATGGGCCTCAACCCCTACCTATATTTGTTTGGAGGAAGCTGCATTCTGTCCCCAAACTTTCCAACCCTTGCCGTGGGCCACTCTGTGTGGCTCAGCCTTTTGGGGTCTGGCCCCCCTGCAGTGGTAAATGGGAATATTTTCTGGTCTTTCCTTGCCCCGACCCAATGCAGAGAGAAGAGCAGCCGCTTCTGAGAGGGAGGAGGGCACCAAGCTCACTCCCTCTCAGAATGAACGAAAAGCACATCCCCGCACACGTGCTAGCCAGAAGCCAGACTCCTTTCTTCAAAGGCCCTGGACCCTGGGTCGCACCCTCACAGCTCACAGTTGGTAAAAATTAAAATAAAATAAAAATTAAAAAGGCTGGCCTGGGGTGGGAGGGAGCCAACCATGTTAGGCTCCAGCCCGAAGTCCCTCAGGGTGGAAAGGAAGTTAGGGCTGGTGTGGGGCCATGTGAGGGGAGTCTCACAGGCCCAGGACATCTGGGTCCCCTCCACTGTGCATGTCAGGACAGCCAGAAAAAAACTGAAAAACCAAAAAAACCTAAATTGTGAGCAGGGACCCAGCAGGACAAAACTGCCAGCAGCTCCAAGGGAGCCCAGACACCACTCAACACCCTCCAGGGCACTGCCTGCTCTCCTGGGCCAGAGGATCCTGCCAGGCCCCGACTTCACCCCTGCTGCCCTTGCCCTGTTCCTGCTGTGGCCACAACCAAGAAAGACATTGGAACGGCCAGGGTACTAGGAGCTTGAAATAGGCCCCCTGGGTGTCCCCACTCTGTAGCCTGCTGCCAGTGGAGACAGGGCTTCCACGGTTCCCATCTGACCCCACTTATATTCTGAACTTGGCTGCTCCTGTGCCAGCTGGGCCATAGGTGTGGGGAGCGCTGGGTCAGGACTGACCACCAGGTTGTTTCAACTCAGAGCCGGGGCCAGGAGCCGGCCTTCCTGCCACACCACACAGAGGGCCCCACACCACACATTCCCCACATCTCCTGCTAGCTGACCCAGCCACAGCTGGGGCCGGAAGCCCTTTCACTCCCTCCAGCCCTCTGCAGGGAAGCACGTGCTCAACCAACAGTCCCTCCGGGGCCAGGCTGGGGGGCCTGTATACCCAGTGGGTGAAGGTGCCTGCCTGGTTTCCTTCCACCCACAGCCATCCAGCCCTGCAGAGCTGGGGATGAAAGGATAGCCAGCCTAACTCCACTAGGGGCCTAGGGTAGCAACTTCTCCCTTTGAGCCTTGGTTCGCGGGTGTACAAAATGGGCGGGGAAGTGAACTGGTAGTTAAGCTCCAAAAATCTGCTGGCTGGACACACCCCTTCCTGACACCTGGTCTGGACCACAAAAAGCCTAGGAGAATGGGTGCCCCAGGGTACCAGAAGGTGGGGGCATGGTGCTAACGCTCAGTCACCTCCACCCGGGCGGAAGGCCTGCCCAGTTTCCCACCCAAAGGTCAGAGGTCCCTTGGCTTACGCCTGGTCTTCTGAGAGGCCAAGGGTGACAGACTCAATCCCAGGACCTGGGCTTCTAACTGCTCACCCGAGGTGGCTGGGCCCTGGGCTTGCTTGCAGCCCGCAGGGTCACGGTGGGATAATGAGGGAGGGATCAGAACCAAGCAAGTCAGGGCACCTGCAGGGAGGTCCTGGACAGGGAACGGCAGGGGAGTCCAGCACTCTCTCTAGGGACCTGGCCCATACGGATCCTCTTCCTCCAGACTCCAGCCACCTCCTACTCTGAGCTCCACAGAGCGGGGACTCGGGATGACCCGAGAAGACAAGTCCGTGGAGCTTAAGGGCAGTACGTCCCTCGTGCACTCCCTTCCCATTTGGGTTCTGACAGTGGCTCCTGGGAGAATTCGAACCCTTGCAAGGGAGTAAAGGAGAGAGGGGAGAGGGGGGAGAAGGGGGGAATGGGAGTGGACGCGACAGTGGCAGCAACGGAGACCAGACGCGCGACCTCCACCCTCTTCCCTCCAGGGGACACTCCGGGACGGCCGGGCACTCACCTCTCTTGGGGCACTGCGGTCCAGGCCACCCCGCCGCGGGCGGCATCAGCGGCCTGCGGGAGGGTCCATGCGGTCAGGGGGGAGGGGAGGGGCACAGGGGTCCCCAGGGGGTACGGTACAAAGAGGTATGAGTGCGAGGCGAGGGGAGGAGGGACCGCCAGGCAGAGGCAGGGGGACGGCCGCAGGGCCCGGGTAGCGGAGGGAAGAAAGGCGGGGGAAGGGGGCGGGAGGGAGTCGGGGGGAGGAAACAATGTAGCCGGCGCGGACTCGGCAGAGTTCCGCTTCCGAGAGCCGCCACTGAGGTTCGATTTTGGAACGTCGCGCTGGCTGCCGGGGGCCGCCCCGGACGCTCGATCCCGGCCGCGAGGCTCCTCGCGCTCCACGCCCCGCGGGCTCCGGCGGCCAGAGACTGGCTGGGACGGGAGGGACGGCGGGCCGGGGTATGGCCCCGACGGCGGCGCAGGAACCCGCCCCGGCAGGATCCCCCGGGCAAGGCGCGGGTGGGGCAGGAGCGGGAGGGCAGCAGCGGGCTCGGCGGCGGCGGCCAACCTCGGCTCGCCCGGGGCTCCGCTGGGAGGAAGCTCGCAGGCCTGGCGAGAGGAAGCGCGGCCCGGATCCTCCGCCCGCGGCAGCGCGCCTGCGCGAGGGGGCCTGCCCGGCGCGCGGCGGGGCGTGGGCCGGCGGGGCGGCGCCCCCTGCCGGGCGCCGGGGGCACTGCGGGGGGTGTGTCCGCGCCCACGCCCTGCCCCCACTTGCTTGCCTGGCTACGTTGAAGGCTCCAGGGTCTCCCCCACAGCGCACACCAGCCGGCCTGGGAGCAACCTCCCAGCCTTCTCTGGACGCAGCTCTCCCGCTGCCGAAATGCTGGGGGCCGGGCCTGGGCCCCTCTCCTCAGGTCTGTTTGTGGAGAGTGGGCCTGACTCCCGGCAGAAAGCCTTCATTCATTCATTCACCAACATTTCCTGGCGCTGACATCGTGGCGGAGCCTGCTCTGGAGTCTATTGGCAAGATCATTTCACTACCGTCAAGGCGTTCTCGGTCGGGTGGGGGTAGGCTGACAGGCCAACAGACAATCGCAAGAAAATAATTGATCAAAGTGGAGAGGTGGCGGACACGGTTCCCAGGAGGCAGAAGGAAAGCGAGGGCTAACGGGGAGACCTCACAGAGCCGGGACTGGGCAGAGGGAACTGCACGCACAAGGGCGGGGAGTGCGGAGGGAGCTTGGTGGCTTCTGGGATCTAAAAATAGCTCAGGCGGCTGCCGCTTGCAGTGTGGGTGGGGGAGAGTGGTGGGAGATGGGTTCCTGCAAACAACAGGGGCAAAAAAGATCTAAAGAGCCTCATGGGACTTTCTTGGAGTTTATGTTCAGCCTGGAGGCAATAAAGAAGTTGTCAGCAGCTCCGTGACCTTGGGCAAGTTACTCAACCTCTCTGTGCTTTAGTTTCCGCGTTTGGTAAAATAGGTGATATATAATGGCACCGACTTCTTAAGTTTTTGTGGGGAGGGGAGGAAATTAGTTAATACATTTAAAGTGCTTAGTGTGCAGTAGCTGGCACGTGAGGAGCCCTCCGTTAAGCAAGGGCTGTTATATCATTGTTAACAAGAAGCAGGGAGATAACCTGCTCTGAGCCACAGGAGAGGACAGCGTGCTCAGGCATGACGCAGGTGGGAGAGTCCAGGGTGGCGGGGGAACAGAATGGGGGTACAGTGATGAGGGCGAGACTGGGGAACAGAATGGGGATACAGTGATGAGGAGGAGACCAGAGACTCCAGCGTAGGGAGGAGGTGAAGGTGGGGGACTTTCTAGGGACTAGACCCTGAAGCAAGGGTCAGGCTTATGTGGACAGAGGGAAGAGGCACTCTTGGGGTTGGTGGGGAGGAAGTGGGGCATGCTGACAAAGTCTTGTAACACAAAATAAGCATGAAGAGGCCCAAGGGAGCGAGAAGAGGGCAAAGAGCCCTGTGGGAGACAGAGCTGGGAGACAGTATGGCTGCAGTTGTTTTAAAGAGCCTCGGATGCCAGGAGCAGGAGCTGCCCCCAAAACCACAGGTTGGCCCTCTGACCCAGGGCACCCTTAGGCCGGTTTCCCAGCTGAAGCCAGCCCTTTGGGGAGGGATATCCTTTGAGGAGACAGTCATGAATTTCAGCGATAGGTGTGGTGTGATAGAAAAAAGATGAATTTGGGGTTGAAGTCTCCAAATTAAATTTCAACCCATTCACTTACTAGCTGTGTGACTTAGGGCTAGTTACCTAAGGTCTCTGAGCTGTTTCCTCTTTTGTAAGATCAGACTCAAAATACTCTTCTCTCATGATAGATAGTGCAGATTCAGCAAGATAACGGCTGGGGGTGAGGGAGTGGAAAGGGTGCTCAGCAGAGCTGGTTCCCCTTTCTTTCCTCTGAGGTCAAGATGGAATGATAATATGGGGTGGGATGGGGGGCCGCCTCTCAGCCTAAAAGAAAGCACTTCAGCAGCTCTGCAAAGGCTTCTGGGAGGAAGAAATTGACATCTCCTCTCCTCTGGCTGAATCAGCTAGCAGAATGGGAAAGAAAGGACTAGGGATTTGGGGAAAATACTCTAATCCCTGTTCCAGTTTTGTCACCAACCTTTCTTTATCCCCAAATACACTTGACTTTTTCCTCTGGGTGTGCTGTGGCCCAGCTGTGAACTTTGGAGTCAAATAGACCTGCATTTGAATCCTGGCTCCACCTCTTCTCAGCAGAGTGAAATAAATTTTTTAATCTTCCTGTACTCCAGGCACTGGGGATAAAACCATAAACAAATCGATAAACGGCCCCACTCCCACAGACCTGTCCTCTGGTGGAAGAGCCAATTAACTTCTAACATCATCATTCATTCATTCACTCATTCGTTCTCTCAACTAATGCGTATTGAGCACCTACTAAGTGCTAGGTGTGAAGTGCTAATTAGGGAAAGGGAGTCAGGTCAGTGGGAGCAAGGGAAAGCAAAAAGAGAAATTCTATAAGCTATGAGTCTGCCTTTCTTCATGTCCAGGACATAGCTCTCTTCATGTCCATTGCAGAGAGCTCTCCTGTGCAAGCAATTCACAATCTTCCTGTGCCCAACTATCACCAGTCTCCTGCAGGTTAGCTCACTGCACCCTCGGCGTCGATACTGCACAAAAACCTTCTCAACAGATAGCATAACACTATTCTATAAAATCTCCAACAACCTTTTGTTTCCTGGCAGTCAGCTTCTCTTCTACCTTCTTGCAATGTATTTTCCTACTTTTTCTAATAAATCTGCCTTTATCTACAACTGTCTTGGCAAGTTTTTTGTTTTGTTTTGTTTTGTTTTGAGACGGAGTCTTGTTCTGTTGCCCAGGCTGGAGTGCAGTGGCATGATCTCGGCTCACCGCAACCTCCCGCTCTAGCATCCAACCATTCTGTCTTAGCCTCCCACATAGCTGGGACTGTAGGTATGTGCCACCATGCTCAGCTAATTTTTTATTTTTAGTAGAGATGGTTTTCACCATGTTGGCCAGGCTGGTCTCAAACTCCTGACCTCAAATAATCCACCCGCCCTGGCCTCCCGAAGTGCTGGGATTACAGGCGGTAGCCACGACGCCTGGCCTCGGTAAATTCTTTTACCTCCGCACCACCGGTCACCCGCTACACTAGGCGTTGTTCTGGATGCTGGAGATGAAGGGGTGAGCAAGACTGCCAAGGTTCCTGTCCAAGAGGATATGGAAATAAAGAGAGCAAGCAGACACATGTGTGAAGGCAATGAGCTATCTTCATCCATGGGTGAGAGACATGGATGAGAGAGGACTAGGGCAGCAGAGCTCAGCCTCCAGACCTCAGGAAGAGGTCTGGGCCAGTGTGGGAGGAGTGGGGGAGGGTATTCCAGGTGGAGAGGAAGACAGTGAAAGACCCTCAGGCACAGAAAGCCTCAGTGGCTCAAGGAACAGCCAGAAGGCCAAGGTGATGAGATTGGCAAGCAGCGGGGAGTGGTGTTCCAGGAAAGGACAGATCCTATACGGTGTTGTGGGCCAGAGGTTTTTATTACAGGAATTTAGGTTTTATCATATGAGCAATGGGGAGCCATTGAAAGATGTTTATAAGCAGGGTAGTGATGTGATAAAGAGTGAAGGTCAGCCGGGTACTGTGGCTCATGCCTGTGATCCCAGCACTTTGGGAAGCTGAGGCAAAAGGATCACTTGAGGCCAAGAGTTTGAGACCAGCCTGGGCAACACAGCAAGACCCTGTCTCTACAACAACAACAAAAAAGTTTCTAATTTCT